TATACGTTCTGGCTGGGTGGCTAACTGTTTTACCTGTTTTACCGAGAGTTTGGCACATGAGACAAAATAGAATACAGTTTAGATATCCCATGAGGATATTTTCCAAAAACTATCAGAAAACAATCTAGATTCCCAGAGAAATTCAAAGATCTTCATAATACTAAGTGACAGATAATCAGGCAGGCAAGATAGGTAGACAAGGCATGTAGACTAATAGACTGACTGTTCAACTTACCTCCATTGCATTTTTCTGGGCTTCTGCAAGCCNGCCGCACCGTTAGCTTCTCACGCTCAGCTTCTGAATCGGCCAGAAGTTGGCGCCATTTCTGTTCTGATTCAGCAACAAAGTCTTGCAGTTTTGCCAACAGATATTCTGTTTCTATCAAAGTATTCTGGAAAGAAAAATAATGGTTATGGGTTCTAAATAGGGAAATACCGGGTCCGGTGTCAATAAGTGATACAAGACTGCAAATGGACTTCAATCTCTTCTGACCTAACACCTTCAATTGTATTTTATAATTTCTCGAACTGGGTTCTATCCCTAATCCCCTATATAGTCATTTTCTCGGGATATCAGCGAAACAGGCGCGGATGCAACACAATTGACAGAGCTCAAAAGCAAACCACTTTAACTTAATTTCTCTTTGTCCATGTTTTCTTCACTTAGTAGGCTGATATTTTGTGTAGTGATTGAAGATAATAGATCAGAATAGAGAACGGCCGTACCCCACGATTAAGATATTTGTTAGAAGGGGTTCAATAAAAAGTTCTGATTATAGATGAAGCAGTAATGTAATATTAGGACCGTTTTGTAGCCTGAAGGCAATTACATAAAATTGTCTCCGAGAGCAGGCGAGAACCCGTTCTCAAAGTAACAAATATTACATCGAAGTATACCACTTAAAGCACCTACTGACGAATTGATAATCACTAGCACCTCAAGCGGAGGGTATTTTGATGGAAACAGACATATAGATACACCGATGTGCCACCAATAGCTGATTCATTCGGAGCAGCTAGAAAATGCTGATTGCATACCTTAAAAGAGGGGGGATGAACATTCCCGAGGAAAACTACGTCATGGTGGTCTTCGTTGCCACTGAACGATTGGATGAACTGGAAGTACGAACCACATCTGAAGGCTGTATGATCCAACCGACTAAACTCCGGACTACCTTGTCAATCAGACGCTGACAAGCCGGAGGCTCCGGTTTATGATCTCAAAGATAATTCACTTAGTTTGTTTTGGGTAATCTGGTGGCGTTCCGCTCACAAACAAACCGTGGACTAACATCCTTGCTACAAAGGTTGATGTAAAAGGATATGTTTACCGTAGTCTGGAACCGTCAGTATATATATATATATATATATATCAAAGTAACTGCTATTATACATTTGTCGGACGTGACGTGTCATGTATATTGTTACACACACACAATAATTACCTTATATCGCTTTAATTCTGATACATAAACCTCCTGTTGTTTATGTGCCTCATCCAAATCGCGAGTGACTTTTTCATAGTTTCCTTCAGCTTTGCTCAGTTGTTCTCGCAACTGATCCAAAGCTACCTTGGACTCGAGATCTACCAGAACAGAGGGTTCTTTCCGTGCATACGGAGAATGTGATTTCTCGTCACCAGCACGACCGCCCGAGGTAAGTGTCAAATCTGTGCTCACACCGGCATCCGTACGTTTTTCAGAACTGACGACTGTGGTACTCTTATCGCCTGCCGATGCCTTCGCTCGAACTGCATCTAGCTCATTTTCCAGATTATCCGCACGTCGATGAGCCTCTTGTAGTTCGGCAGTGACACGCACAAGATCGGTGGACATCTGAGCCACCTGAGCGCGGAGTTCATTCACAGTGCTCACGTTCAGTGACATCGATTGGGTAACTTCTTCAAGGAGGCGTTGTTTCTGGGCATTAAGTTCCTGTGTATTTATGTGAAAGGGGACAAATTCAGTTTGCGATGTGAAATACGATAATAATCAATGTGGAAACAGAATTACGAATAATGGATAACCGATCAAAAAATTACACACTTCATTCGTAACCTTATCAACGGATGAATAGAGTAACCTATCCCTCAAATACAAGTGACAACGCCCTCGCTGATGACTCACAGCGATATGCCAAATTTCTTACAATATTGCGATTAAAAATGAACTCATTTGAAGATTCCAAATGACGGGAAAATCCTATTCTCCCAGTCAACGAAGAACGGCTTCTAAAAATGTGGAAAATAATTCCCTTAAGTTCATCGCCTGTGATCCTTCAGTATAATATCCAAACAGAGAGTATCGTACCCATCTACAAAGTACGGTTTGCCTAAAGTATTCATACCACAGTTTCCTTCAAACACAGTAAAGGCCAAAAAGTACGATGCAGATGTATATAAAGTCAAACAACAAACTTGGTCCATGACCATATCACAATCACTTGTGAGTAGCAATAAGGGGCAAATGATAATCATTTAGGCTGACCACCCTGCCGACCTGATCTTCACGCACAATTCTCTGGTCATCCGGTTGCCAAGCGCATGTCAAGCACTAGAATGAACTTTCTCCCTCATTAGAGTTCATCAGTTGTATATACTCACCGTCCCGTCAGAGCATTAAACTCCGTACACCTCGCACGAAAAGCTTGTGCTACGAACGTGTTCGCACCCGGGTTGACTAGAATCACTTATTTGTTTGCTCAGGCGTCGTCGCTGATAACATTCAGCCATTTTATCTTAGCCCGACAGCAACGAAGGGAGACAGTTGATTAGCTGTTAACTCTAAACGGAAACCTCCGATCAAATCTGGTCTTCCGCGCCATTTAAGGCTAACTTGCCACAATGAAACTTACGACACAGGGACTTTTTTAAATTTGCATTAGCCTTACAGTTATTTGCGAGGAGTGCATGAAGATGAATTCTGATGAATGATCGTTGTAAGTCAATATCAACAAAAATAGTACCCAAAAACAGAAACGGTAGGTGATATACCCATTGAGAGTATTTTTTATAAACAAGGATGCAAGCTTTTATCATCGATCTGAAACGAGATGTTTAGCTTGGTACATGACTGGGATTCGGATAAATAGAACACTTTTTCTATGAAATCCATCCCGTCTGAGGTATGTGAATGGTGCATTCACTGAACTACAGAAACAAAGCATGCACGCATGTCACGAGAGCCGGCAAATCGGTCAATGACAATGAGCAGAGAGGAATGTTAAGCACTTGCCCCGGGTCTCAGAGTAGGGGCCAGTCACTGACCTAGTGGCTAATCGTGAAGATAAACCTATGCCCGTTAAAAAGCACGCGGAGATAATCAACGAGAATTTAGGAAGCAGTGGACGTTTGCTTGAGAAACGCTCTCCTATAGAAAATATCACATTGCAACAGGGCGCTCGCAGCCCGCTATAAAGCAAAGCCACCGCCTTTGCTTTGCTCTCAATAATTGACATGGTATTCGGGAAAACGCCAATGAACCGCACATTAAACCACAGACTCGACAGGAATAACTCTGCTGCATTGAAAGATGCATTCAGACCGTCTTGAAATAGACTGACGGAAGCGAATGATTTGCGGACAGCGTAAAAAGAACGTATGAGGTAACAGAACAGAACTCACGGCAAACTGATACTCCAAACTGGAGATCACTTCAGACTGGCGCTTTTGATGCTCGAGACAACGTGTTAGCTCATTCTGAGATTCATTGAGATTCATTATCAGTTCCTTCGTGAAACATGGGAAGAAGTAAGAATACGAGGAAAAAGAAGATGAGTCCACTGCATGGACAGACTGGATTCTTTCAGTACAAAGTTCAGAAACCCAAAAACATTAACTACCGTAACATTATCGTGATACGGTGAAAGCTACCGAAAGAACAATGTAAACGAAAGAAATATGGCAAAGCTGGGAAGAAATTTATCGTAGGTAAACTGTGGCAAGAAGGTATTCAAATGACTGTAAACAATAGCCACCCAAAAAATAGTCAGAGCCAAGTGTACTGACAGAATGTGATTATTAGGGCTTCACTCGTCTCACTGACACTGAATTCGGGGCGATCTAATCATTGTATAATAAATTTCGCATCAAACCAACTATATCCTGATATGTTCATTTCAGAGAACAACTTCTCAAGATGCTGCAATNACCAGATGAACAAATGTGCATATGATGAATCTCAGGTCTTAATAACGGTAAGTGAACTTCACTCAACCGAGCACAAAACTCGAATGATACTTACAAATAAAACCACCAATTAAATGAATCTTGCTTGTATTTATCGATTGCTTGAAATTGATGTAAATACAGGGCGACTAACGAATCGTGTAATTGATGTACTGTGTGGGAGACAAATGCAGTCAACTTTATGACACCCTTTTAAACTTCCACAACTATATTCATTACCAGAGTACTTTAATACTTTTCAGTAGTCAAATTATGTAGCCTGTCGTTCTTACGCACGGAACTGCATGCTACGGACACATTTCTCGTCAGTAAAAGTGACCGTTGAATATGTAATAAAATTTAAGCATAGACAATCGGATTGCCAGAAATAGGTAGTACAAGGTAACACACGAAAAGTTCGAATGTAAAAGACTATCAGATGTCATTTTTACCACGTTTGGATTAATCGGTTACATTTTCCGACGACGATACTTCACATCAGTAGAGACGTTTACCATCTTTTTTCATTTATGACACACAGATATCACACAGCTCCTATGCTAGATGAACAAGTGAGTTCGAAAAACCCAATGACATAAAAAAATGCTTCAACCAAGGTTTTACTGGCGATAACCAGGTTCTCTAGTAAAAAGTGGTCATATGGTAACAACATTATGACACAGAAAACTAAAAGTTGCATGTTGCGTATTTGGTGCATCTATCATTTATGTGATCACTAGTGTGATAGAGACAGAACGGACACTGATGAAGTTTAATTTTGAACGCTCTAAGTAAGATTGGTGGAAAGAACTACGAACCATTCATTGAAAATATGGTAACGAGGTGAGTGAACCTCTTAACAATTGAATGGGCTAATGTAAGCTTGCTGTTCTAAAAAAATTTAAAATGTTAGCACAGCGTTAAAAGCTGCGAATAAATTATGAAGTTTTCGCATTACTACTACCAGCTGTTATCAGTAGCCAAATTCTGTCCGAGCGTCCAGTCATACGGACGGAAGAGTTAGCTGACACTGCTTTCTGACCACCAAGCGTCAGTGCTACTCGTTGGAGTGTTGCTCAAAGAACTCCGGATATGCGTTGTTTTTCGAGCTCGACCTGATTGAATGTGATGCTATTTTTAGTCACAAGATTTTAGCTTTATGGAACCACGACAGACAAGATATCGAGGAGTTTACACTATGTTCTGATTTCACCTATGGTCTTTAAGGGAGAAAAGATTACAATAATACCACCACTAAAATCGCGTACCCAATATGCAGCTTTCATCTTATTCCAGGACAGCGTGAAGAGGATTTCTGGTATTTCGACTCAACTATTCATTCCAAAATCATTCCGGATGTCGCGTTTTCTGTTACAACGTAAGACAGGGTAATTCAATATTGTCCCATGGGTATCCGCCTAATTTATCGACCATTTCCAGGGTGTCTGCGTGACAGCAAAACTGCCTAAGTAGATCCTGACCGACTGAGGATCACCAGTTGGAGTGAATGAATCATCGATTACACCTCCGAAATTTCCAGTATGGTCTGGGGTGGATGCCTAGGGTTGTGCTTAGTCACCCTTCCCCTGCACCTTTCGAAATGCTCCCATACGACCAAGCGTCTCAAACAGCCTCTGATGAGGAAGTCCTACTCACCCCTTCCTCGTGGTGGAGGTATTTTCACCAAAGCGAGAGGACGAAAAGCAGAAATCCTGGTTTATNACCGGGTTGGTGGATCACTGGTAGTTCATCTAGGGGAGTTGATCAAAAACCCTGATTCCAAACCAACCATGAGGAGGCCTACGAACCACAATCACACATTTCCGGTTGTGGGAGTGGTCACTGGCTCCATTAAGCATCTTGGACGTTTGACCCCGTCCAAAAGGCGTATGATCCGATGAACTGGACACCGGCTCAAAATGAATTGCGGTTTTCACACATCGCCCCTCTGCCTAGCGGGCCAGGCTTCAGTTAGACGAAGGTTAAGGTTATGGATTCCCCAAGAAAATTCACCTACCTTGGCTTGGGCAACCTGGACGTATTCAACCCACACGCAAACCAGGGAACGTTTTTCTTTTTACAAAGATTATTGTACCACGATATATATATATATAATCATCGATTACAAACGATGCGTTAATAAATAAAAACGTTTCACTGGAATGTGCTTGATGACATATTATAACCAACGGACACATTCTTGAGAATACATCGATGCAGATGACTGGAATGCTTAACGCGAAAGAATGTGCGTTCCGCATAGTTATTAGTATGAGTAATCTGCATGAAAAAGTTGCTTCTCTTGTGCTATACCGAGCATAGAAAACGACAATATATTTGAGTGGTTCTAACAACATTTAGTGCACTGTATCTCATGTGAAAACTTGCAAAGCTATCTTTAACAGCACTAATGACCCATTATACAAAAAGATGGTAGCTGAACAAATCTGGAGGGCATACCTGAAGCGTATACTGGTGTACTCTGCACGAACAAGTTCAAAAGACAACAACACACTATCTCAAGTCAGCTGTGCTAAACTTTAACGCATTCACTGCCCTGTTGCCCACGTTACGTTATGATTATCGACTGGAGTGTTCCAACCGTTATGAAAAATGTTTTGTACTCTTAACATGCCAAAACGTACACCAGGTTTTTTAATCATGATCCTTTTACATTCTTTTTTATTTGATACGTATCACAGATGAAGGAGATCGACAGGAGAGGAGTCAAGGAAAATCAAAGGGTGTCATAAAAAAGAAGAATTTAATGGGGAGGGCCTGCTGCAGTCATCAAATTTGTTATCGATCAATGATGATTAAACATAACAAATGTTCATTTTCTCTTTCAATAATGCCAGACGAGAAAGACCGCGTAATACGAACCCATGGTTGTTAATTTATTTTGCCAACATTTCAAGAGACTATCATCTGATAAGTTCGTCATGTAGAATAATTAAAAATCATACATTTGGGACACTTAGCTGAGCTTCCCATTCACGTTTCTATCGAGTAAGAAGCTACAATTCTAAGCTTTGGAGGACTAATTCTCTTTTTATTTTCCTCCAGCGTCGATCACTTTGCTTTTTACTCTACGTGCTTCCAACTACAGACCGAAACTCAGAAACCTTCGGCTCTAGATAGGAAGCGTGAAACTATCAGCATGGTGCTTCAGACTAGAATTACGCACTCGGTTATTTTGATCGATTTGTATTGCTCAATTCGTTTACCGAGAATGGTGATCTGAACGCCTGCAGGTTATCTCGCGACTACGGCATGGCATAGATATGGGACATTTCACGTGCTTTAACACAAGGGAGTCTTCTCACGTTGCTACTTCTAGTGCCTTACATGGTGCGAGTTTTTTTGCGTTTTCCTTTTACCTGCGCGCTTCGAAACTACTATTCGCGTCATATTCTCTGATTGCAAACCTGCTACTGGTGCGGTTTCATGATCCGAATTCATTCTCACGAGAGCATTAGAAATTTTAGACGATATTGATATTGTGGACCGATCCTCTTGCCGTTGTCTTTCGATGAACGCTTCGGTACTGCGAGACTTGCTTTTATTTAACTGATAAACTATAGAGAGTTGTCGTAAGCATGTTCCTCTTGCTGTGAGCATTGCACCTTTACTCATATCACTAATTAAAAGGTACTGTTATTATTATTTCTATCAAATATGGATCTGATATTGATATCACATTATCACACTATATTATATATATATATATATATTGGTGTAACCGTAAGAAAGTTTTCATTGTTTAATGCCAGCCCGCTTATGAGCCGGTTCTATAATTTTATATCCGAAGAGACATGGTGTAAAAGCTAAAATTTCACTCACTTGGATGATACTACTGAATTCACCCGACTTGTGGCCGTGATTTTCCTCACTTTCGGTGTAACACATGCAACTTACTCATTGTATCCTGATCAGACCACTCTAACACTAGCTAGGACTATTCCTAGCATGAGTATGTGAGAATGCTTAAACACTCCAATTACACTGGACGCTGGTCGTGAATAGGATGAGCTCGGACTCACAGAACAAGCGGCCACATTCGAGCGACGGCAGTGCTGGAGAGCGTTCTACCAACAAAACACTTCAAGGTTTCGAAGCTAGTTTTGTAAGTACGATCTGCCACTTATAAAGCCATTGCCCCCTGGCCCAATTTATCTACTCGAAAAAAGGCTTTCTAGAGGCGGCAAATACACCAGGGTACTGGTCATTGCCTTGACTGAAACCATCCTAGTGTCTTGCAGGTTCCACTAGAAAAGGGACGCCAATGCAAAATTGAATAAGCAAACCTGACCGTACTAAGTACATCGATTGTAATCCTATTCTCGAGAATCTATGAATAGAGCTGATTTATCCTTCAGGAGGTAGTCGTGTGCAACTACAGTGAGAATTGCAAAACCTACAACTGAAATTAAAAATGAAATAGGAACATTCTTTATGATCTTACCCGTGAACCATGGGAGAAGTACAACCAATTAAAGTATTGCAAGACAAAACAAAGAAACAGATATAGATCAGAAACAGAGAATAAGGCATACCTGAGTACGTTTACGTTCAACTTCCAATTCGTGATGCTGACGTTGAATCTGCGTCTCGTATCCCGCTATACGGGATTTGGCTTCGGTTTGACTGAGGGAAAGCAAAGGTAAAAGACAAACAATCGGTATGACCAACAACCAATCAACCAACCAAATGAACGTCCGAACCGGTTAGGTTTGAAACAAGATGCGCTACGTTCTATATCGTAATCGGATGCGAAAACTGTCTGTCGTGGCGGTGTTCCGTACATCAAACAAGGCATGACCGTATTGATGTGATTAGGATCCACACAGTTCACCGTATACAGAGAGAGAGAGAGAGAGAGAGAGAAAATACCAAGGTAACCGGGTACGGTAACGAAATTAATCTGATAAACAAAATACCACTGAGCGGACAAATTGTCAATTGGACACCGATTAACAAGTTGACTCGCACGTTCATACGTGCTAACGCTCCCGAGTCGTGTGATATGAACTAGATAAACTTTGTTCTTGTGAGCCACAGTGATGCAAGTGATTTCGCTGAACAGACGAAGCGATGCACAATTGTGACAACGAAAATAAATTCAACTAAGGGCAAACACAATGAGGAAATGAGGTAATCCTACAAGCATATCATTGTTCAACGTGCCTTAGTCTTAGCAAACGAACACAAGAACATTGCAGAGGAGTGAGTAAAAACAAAGGGATAAAAAGACGATGGACAGGTAAATGATATGAAGACAAAGCGAAATTAGGACCTTAAAACGACATTTATGAACCTGGAATGGAGGTAGACGACAGACGATCAATGCTATGTATGTTTCTGAAAAGTGAGAATCCCAAAAAGATATAAGGAGACCATCCTTGCTTGCCTCACGTCTTCAGTGTTTCAGTAAAGTCGTTTGCCGATCAGAAACAAACTTACAAGAAAAGGTATATTCTTGACAAGTCGGTCAAATCGGAAATAACACTTGGAGGGTCAGATAAGGGTGTGGATGAACACAGTTAAATCGAATGTGGATGGCCAAGGTATTCGGAATGCGCAAATATCGAAATAAATTGGTTTCACGGTACTTTGACCTCATCGAAGATCGCAAAGCATGGGAAGTTACCAGTCATCCCCAAGCAGACGATAACGGCAAAAATACGTAAGCAAACGACAGCTGATTGGAGCAAAAAGCATTTGATTCATCAACTGGACCATTCAATGCCGAAATCGATCACGATATCTGATTACAAAACTACGAATTAACCACCGACCGGATATAACCAGCGGAAGAGACTCGTGTACTATGAAACTGAATCCAAATAGGGGTTTTCCCGATGTCCTTTGATGCTGTAGAAAAACATCTGTTACGGACCACTGTATGGACATCCATCGCCCGACAAGTGTTTCTCAGGCAGAAAATATCGTCTCCATACGAGCTGGGTTCCCACAGACTTCATGTTCCTTCCCGCAACTCACAGACCAGACAACAAACACTTCTCCCAGAAATATTCCCTTAGCCGAAAACAATATGATCAGCTCAACCAACCTTTGCACCACCATCATTGTGAAGCGTAATACAGTGAAGCAAACTTTACTGCTCGCTGCCAAACTCATTGCATACAAGATAAGTGAGAATGTGTAAAGAGGACAGGGATTGGGCCTGTTTTTAGGGACGGGAAAAGAAAGCGAACCTATATGGTCAACACACAGAGTACACAGTCCAAACAGTGCATACATACTCTTTCAAGCATTCTGGCCTGATAAGAAGCGACAGCAAGCTGTCGGTTAACAGTCATGACCTTCGGTGTCCCCAACTATGCGGTTACGGAGTTTTTTGTAATCCAACCCGGAAGACGAGAGACACCTACTCTGCCTAATCGCTCTGTATTTCTGCATGCCTCATCACCACGTCATCTGCTGGTCTCAACATGGCTTTCTTCAGCCTGCAACAGCCACTGTGAATAAGGCGCGCTGCAGTAGGCCACAGTTGGACATACGCAAACCGTGTCCTAACCAACGGAGCCTACTGAGCTGAATTCGATGCGATCGCGAGTTTTTGTTTGATGCATTCCCGAACACCCGACGACTTACTTCTAAGTTACTAACCCGCTCACTCCATCCCACTTGGGCCAGACTAAGTAAGCATTGATTGTCGAAACCACTAATCGACGGATGCCTTCTATCCGCAAATCCAAGGTCTCGCATCCGCAAAGCAACTAGAGTTTCTGCCCCGCGACCAACTGCATTGTTTCTACACTAATTCCCAGCAAATTTTCAGAAGTGGAAATGAGTCGCGAAACTGGCCAATGGGACATTATCACAGTTGGCGATACTTGGCTGAAAACCGACATTATGGACTTAGAATTACGCTGTCCCAGCATGACTCTGCTCAGAAGCGATCGACCTACAAGGGGTGGTGGGGTGTTACTCTACTTTAGCAGCAGACTACAATGTGAGTTAATTGACTATTCTGTTGCGGCTTCTGATTCACTCTGGTGAAAAGTGCGATTGTCGCAAAGCGAAATTGGCTTCATCGGTGTGGTGTACCGCTCTCCCTTATCTACAGACTCAGTCAATGAGACAGTATTGCAAACCATTTTTCGAATTCTGTCACTGAAGTTCATGTTCTCATTATGGGCGACTTCAATTGCCCGAATCTAGCTAAAACAGTGACCTTTCTACAACCGTTTGAGAGTAAACTCGCACAGCTCATGGAATCCTATCTACTTTACAATTTTGTGAAGGAGCCAACCAGTCACCGTCGATTTTGGACTTGTTGTTAGCTAACGAGGAACTGACGGTGGAAACGATTTTCACTGCAACTCCATTAGGTCGTAGTGATCATGCTGTGTTGACGTTTGGCTACATTTGCTATGCATCCGTGCGGCATATTTTAACGGTTAACTCCTGTATGTTTGTTGACTACACCAAACTCAAGATTTTGGGGACAGATTTGCAATATTATCAACGAACAGTAAGATCTCTTGGTATCCTGGGACGAATTTATGAATCACCTGACGGGAATGATGAAGGGCGTGACGAAGAAAAAACACATTATTTACTCAACTGTTCAAAAATCAGTGATTCAAAGCCGAACAAAGAAGTGGATTTCGCAGAGAAGTATCTCATAGAGCTTGTAAACGGTTTCCTTGCAACAACACATGGTATACTTATTGTCTACTTCGAAACCACTGAACCAAGTTTGCACGAGAAGACAAGTTAATGTACCAAGAAATGCTAATGTGCAAGTTTATATCAAATCCCAAGCTGTTGCACAAACACATAAATCTCACCAGAAAAATGAAGTCTGGTGTTCTAGTGCTCAGATTGGCAGACCGTGTTTCAGCCACAACAAAGAAGGCAGCTGCATGGTTAAAAAGCCAGTACGCTCAAGTGTTCATTGCACCTGCGAACACCGGACTACGATTGCCTTTGTTACTTGAGGATAGACCATACCCAACGCTCACCACAACTGATTTTCCCCAAGAATTAACAGCATCGAAACTTCAGTGTCTGAAAAGGAATTCATCTCCGGGAATGGATAACATCCATACACAAACCCTTATCAATCTCGCAAGTAACTTAGCTCAACCATTGAGTGAACTACTCCAATAAATGCTCGACAAAACTGTGCTCCCACAAACATGGAAACAAGGAATAATTTCACCAACATACAAGGGTGGCTGTCATAGTGACCCAGCTAACTACTGCTCCGTTACTCTCTTCCCCGTATTACCCAAAGTCATGGAATCTATTGTTGCAAACAATGAGATGAGTCGCTTNNNCGCAGGCGACTGCGTACCACTAAACTTCTTCTGACCCGAGAGAAGACTGGACAAAAGCAGCAATTCACGGTGATGCAGTGGACGTAGTGTGCCTCGAATTCTCCAAAGCATTCAACCGAGTGAACCATTAAATACTACCGAGGGAACTACACAATTATGGAATTCGGAGATTTGTACTGGGTTGGATAGAAGAATTTCTTCGATAACGCACCATCGCAGTTCGTGTTTCTGGGTCACTTTCTGATCCTATCAACGTAGTCCGAGGGGTTCCACGGGGATCCATGCTTGGCCCTCAACTTTTCTAGTTTTCATAAACGACCTAACGGACATTCTGGAGTCACAAACGTTCATTTTTGCAGACGATGCGATCGTTCGATTCTGAAACGTCCACAAAGAATGGCCACCAAAATAGTCAACGGACTGTATTCTAAGACTTATGTGGAAATACTGGAATCATTGAGGCTGTACTCCACACATTATCGCCGAATTTGAGGTGACTGGAATTTGTTGTATCAAATAATGCAGAATCCTGATCGCTCATGGTGTTCACTGTTTGCTTTGTCGTCCAACACTTACCTGAGGGAGTACTCATTCAAACTGGTGCTCCAAAAATGTCGACTAGAATGACGGTGTCATTTAGTTGCCCTCAGAGTGTGTAATATTGAAACTCTTTAACACTCCGCGTTGTTTCTGCTCCCACAATTGATTCTTTCAAGCACAAACTGGATGAAACTTTAACGAATCTTAAATTTCACCATCCGCTGCAGTGCACGATAAAAGGATAATTTGTGATATTCCTCATCTTACTATGAACAGTAAATCGATCCATTTGTGCTGAACCCTATGGGGCAAGAAAAGCAACCGCTTGTATTTCTCATGATAAAACTTTAAATTTGACAAAACCACACAATTTAATCCAGTTACGCTCACTGATTACGCAAATCACCGTCAGATAATCTTCATTCACACAGTCACAACGGCGTTAAGAAATAAGAATAGCCGTAGGCAGGATTTTGTAGCACTACATCAAGTTCTCGAGTAACGCCAGAAACACCATCAACTAGGGGTTGCACTATTTTTTGATCCAATGATCCCATTGGACTAGGTTGACTGTCACGCCCTATTTGATTCGATTCTGTATCAAGAAAAGCCCCAGAGGCATGTCAGTCGACAGAAATGGTTCTACTCGCATAGTTCTGGTATAGTAGGGGTCTGCAGTGAGCTAAGCGCATTTGACAAACTAAATGGATTCTGTTGTCTCATACCGTATGCGTTTTGAGCACTTCAACTGCAAAGCGATGTCACAAAGCTGAGTGTCACTTATCCCTGCTTTGAAACCAAATGGTCAGGAATGGATTATAGTGGATTACCTCTCCAATTTGGGTAGCTGTCAATGATGACGGTAGCGCGGTTGAGGAGATGGCACATACTTCCATGGACGGAGCTTCGTACGCAGGACCAAAACACCCATGGGATCAACATGACATTTCCCTGAAGTCGAACGGTCGCGTACACTGTACTCCAGTTCGGTCAGTTCTGCCATACGGTTGTGAGATCTTGAATTTTCCAGTGGAAGACATCCACCGGCTGGAGGTTTTCGACCGTCAATTTCTGCATAGTTTAAGGTGAGTTTGACTTAGCGAGTGTGTAAGATATAGCGAAGTAAATCGCAGTACATTTTAGTGGAAAATTCGAATGCAGATTAATAAGCTTCACTCGTAGGAGTCATCTAACACACCGCGCCTTATTTGCAATGTACAGAAAATCATATGAATCATATGGAGCTTGGCAGCGATTGGTGAAGTTGGCTCCACCGTATTTCACTCCATGGTGAAGATGATAATGATACCTCTTTCTGATCCACGACAGACTGTCTCATATCTTGTTGGATTAGGCGATTTGTCAGTGTGCTTCTTCATCGTTATCGTTAATACAATTGTTCCAAATCTCACTCCCCTCATGTCATTCACTTTTAACAATAAGGCTGTCCAGATTGACCCTTCCAAACTGTTCAGTTTAATCCCAACTTTGCCAAACTCTGCGTTCCCTCACTGTATGACCCCAACGGTTCATCTTACCCCGTGCAAAAGTTTACGCTCCGCGTCAAACGCGATGAGCTTCGCTGCAACTTGGCCATCTAGCTTGCCCGGTCCTCGGTAATGTTGAATCGGGCGGTTATCTATTATCGCGCTGAGTACCGATTGCTGATTTCGTCTCATATTTGTGTCGTTCTATACGGATTCACATTTTGTTCATGAGCCGCCGATCGTATGAGGATTTTTAATTGACACTTAAATGAATTGTCAGTGGCGAAGAATCACCCCAGATGCCTGATCCGAATTGGGTCCTAGTCTCGAGTCAATTTGACTATTCATCAATTCCGAAGGGTTGAACTGGAAAATTACCCTTATTTCTAGTCCTGGTTGCAATCAATTAGAGCGTGACCTTAGAACCAGTTCCAGTGTGAATTTACTACGGCACAGTACTACTGGATGGGACCTGAAGTGACCTCTCTCTCCCAACGGTCTACACATTCAGTCCCACCTAAAAAAAAGAGCAAAACAATCCCGCTAATTCGTCAATGTTCAACAGAAGACACTAGGTGAAGCCGAACAGATAATCCCTGGATCAATAACAGACTGTATGATTTCCACGTAAGATTCTCACCCTTGTGGTGATTAGTGAAAGTATTCTCTGAAATGCAACCTCAAATACATCCATGTACCTACCGGACACTATTCTGAACATATCGGATTTTGACAATTCCGAATTTGCACGAGAAAACTCGACTGTCTTAAATTCATTTACATCCACGATTAACGGCCTGCCTTGACCTGGGCAACCTGGCAGTGTTCCGCCTATATACAAATCGCGAAACGTCTTTCTTTTTCATGAAAATTATTGCACCATGATTTGTTTGGTACACTCTGGATTCAGACGTTTGTTAAAGAAAAATACGATTAACGGTGAATGATGTACCGCGTGGGGCGAGCTCCCATCACCAAGTCTCATTCAATGTGCAGTGTTGTACAAAGGCTATCAGCCATAGTCGAATTCGTACACCTGATGCGTATAATGTGCCCATATTCTATGCACCTGAATAGGACAACACATTTGGCCAAAAATGGTAACTTTGGAGGATAGAAAATATGAATAACACCTTATTGGTACCCTGAGATATCTTTCGCAATGGGCTTGTCGGCTGCTCCAACAAAACCGATCCCTTTATCACGCATCCCAATATAAGGAATCAATCAGTGTTAAACATAACACTTCCTCCTGCCCTATATACCGTATAAACCTTTACTGGGCCTGTGGAAGTGAAAGAAGAGATTGAGTGATCCGATTTGTTGCCAATATTGTACGGGTTCCCTACATTTAAACCCCAAATAGCCCATGAGCTCTCATGAGTTAACCAGCTCCATGGTCAGCGGCCTCGTTCCCATACTGATCCTCTGGACACTATGTGACTTAGCTCTCCAAACCGGAGTTCGAACCACTGATCCTTGCTACTGTCACTGAAGACTGTTGGTGAGTTGTTTCACAATCGTCAACCAGTACATTTTCAAGGATTTGCAGTTCATCTTAGATGGAAGAGACAGCGGTGGTAAAGCGATTGTTGTATCCACATAAAAGCCCTTTGATTGGGCGTTTCCCCCTTCCGGCAAACTTGTTAATTTACGCATCTACCAAAAAGAAGTGAAAAACATGGAAAAAGAAAAAAAACTAGTCAAGTTATGGAGATGAAAATGACTAGAGTGCCTACACAAAACACCGTATGAAAAATATCAGACAAAACATCATACGACAAAATGATTCCGCAGACCGATAAAAATCTGCTAAGCCAAATTCAGAGGGGAATAGACAAGCGCACGTTCTGATGTGTTTACACGACTCACTCACATTTTCTTAGGTTGCCGTACCATTATAAACGAACGGTAACTAATCTCTTTTGGAGATTAACAAACGTCCCAGATGAAATAATTTAGATAACGGGTTGCTAGTATCCGTCGAGAACACAATGCCAACACACTCGAAGAGCCCTAAGAAACATCGGGCAAAAGATATATATCTTTTGGTGGTTGCCACAGCCCAAAGCAGCGCAGCATTATAATTGATCAAGCCACGTGATTCAGCAAATGGTGAGTTGGTTTCACGCTCATCAATAATTTACGCATTATGTGATGAAACAATACACAACAGTAGGAAGATAAACTGCGTAGTAAGAGGCTCAACGAATGAATATGAATAACCTATCATCCTCGTATTACCTTGGCAACAGACGTAGTTGGCGATCACTATGAATCGAAATCTTTCTAAGTCTAAGATCCTGAAATGATCCTGTTTTTTGGTTTCGCTATTTACGAACGTGCATCACACAGAATAAAGTTAGGTCAAGTCTGCCGCAAAGTTGCTATCGCTGTGGGAATACCAGAGAGCAAGTCTGCCAAGTAGCTACTGACAGATGAATCAAACTTTGACACAGTATGGTGGATGGTAGGCTTTGCCAGTGTACTGCTGAGCGACAAATGCTTCCATACCCCTATCATTAAAAAGCCCGAGGTGAAAATTTTACATCTATAACTGCACGAAGTTGTATTTGAATATAAAATTCCATTACCTTTTATCCTTTCACTCAGCGACAAGGGACGGCGGGATCTCGTAAAAGCGTTCAGTGTTTATGTAATCATAGATCAGACTGATCACGAGATCACCGATGAGGAAGTTTAATGTAATGGCTAAGTTTCTTGATCAGAGTCTTCATGCCAGCATAAACAAGCAAAATGGCATAGCGAGGGATCTAGAGTGAATATAACAATCTGATTCCCTTACTCTGTCTGGCGTTTGGTTCGTAATTCCTCCAGTGCGGTCTCCTTTTCCGCATGCAACTTGTGCGTCTCAACTCGGAATGCCTAGAGTGGGTGAGGAGGAAGGAGAAGACGATGGATATTGTGATGCAAAGCAATAGACAACAAAATGCAAACTCGTAAAATCAAAAAAAACCAACTTGTCAAAAAGAGATGTCTCACAAACCAGGCAACTTGCTCAAACAGGTGCAGGTGATAACATCATTATCAAGGAGCTAATTGAAACAATCTTATAGGGGTGGAAAAAACAACAAGCCGATTACGAGAACTGTCTAGCTGTTCTCAAATGATCAACGGTAGACGACGAATGTACTAGATTTCAGTTCAGGTTTTTACAATCATTAACCATGCTCTACACCGAAACTAAACGGCTAATCGGCTAATTGGCCTTCTGCTTAACATCTACATGATCGCAAGGTGGCAACAAAAGTCATGATTTACAAAATAAACCGGGGTGGGGGAGGGGGGGTTCCAGGGTTGTAATCACTTGTCTAAGCAGATTACGTAACACGGTCATTCAGTTATCGTTTGATTTTCTGAACAAAGGTCAATTACGTCATACTGTCGGGCCATGGCATACTCAATACGTGAACGATCCGTTTTTGTTTGCACAGTTCGGGGTGGTGGATAGACACACATAGAACCCCCCTCCCCCACCCCGGTTTATTTTGTAAATCACGACTTTTGTTGCCACTCTGTGATCATATATTAATGTAGAAGCTTGAGGATGAATAATTGAAAAGAATAGCTGGCGCCACAGGATCAAGTGAAATGATGGACACACATAGAAATGGTTGACAGTGGCAGTTGATCCTTGAGTCTCTGAGCAATGGCCGGATAAGATGAGTAGAAT